GCTAGTCCAGAACCTGATTGTATTTTGCTTTCTTCTGTAATATTTGTTTTGGCTCAGTTTTTAGCTTTTTTCTTAGAAGTGACTATTGTAAAACTGTTAGTTTCCTTTGATTGAGTACTATTTTCTGATATCTTCATATTATTATATAATGTTGGCAAAAGATCAATAACCATATTTTCTTGGTTGTTGTTAACTTTATTTTTATTTTGGAAAGTTTTTGAAGACTAGTTTGTATTTGGGCTATTATTCTTGAACTCTGATTTAGAGGTTACTGTCTCCATTCTAGTATTCTCATCTGTTTTAATACAATTTAAAGTTGGTTCAGTTGTTGTTTCAATAGCTATTTCTTGATTCTCCTCTTTGATGTAAGGATTATCTGGGCTTAATGTTGCAAAAGTTGTTTTTTTTCTTGTATTCTAGCAAGTTTGAGCATTTTTTGTAAATTTCTGGCCTCTACTAAAGCTTTGTATTCTGTACAATTTTTCTTGATATGTTTTGCTTTGTCACAGAAGAAGCAGAGCTTAGATACTTTTTTTCTGTTAGCTATTATCTTGTGGTATCAGATATCTGTGAATCTAAGAATTCTGCTTGAAAGGCCTGGATTATCTGTTTTTTAAAAATGATTACCCATTGGTCTGATAGTACCGAAGTACCTTTGTATATCAAAGGTTTAATCAAAGAGATAATGCCTATGTCTTGAAATGCTTCTTTAATTTTTTCTGAGATATATTCTTCTTGTCCATAAAGGTGTTTTAAAGTCTAATTAACAAGAAGTTTCGTCAAATATTTACTAAAATGTACCCCTGCAGGGTTTGTTCAAAAACTGTGAGGTCTTCAGCTGTATAAAATTGCTGCTTCTTTTCATTTAGAAGAATTACTTCTAGGTATGTTATTTTGTTTTTGTTAATAACTAGTTTTGCTACTATAAAATTAACTTCTATTTTAATTGCTAAAGTTTCTACCAACTTAGCTATGAAGATGTTTTCTAGATTGTGAGTTTCAAGAATTAGTGCAAACTTATTTTTTGTATAGATTCTTTTTCTAGAGGCATAAGTTGAGAATATTGCTTTTTCTCTTTTGAGTTTAGTGAATAATTTTGATCACTGTTTAAGTTCTGGCTAATTGCTCATCTTTTTGATTAGTAGTTCTTGTATTTGTTTTCTTGATTATATGTTTCTATGTGTTTTATTTGTTTTGACGAGATCTGATATGTATTATCTATTATTGTATTTTGCATACTGTATATATCTGAAAATAAGCTACCATTTTTGGGCAAAAAGTTATACAAAAATTTTGCAGGTAGCTTATTTTTGGGTAAAAGCATTTTTGCCAATTGCGAAAAAATTTTACTAAGTAAATCGATCATGTGTATTAAGTGAAAGTTGTTCAGGAGATAAAATTACACATATTCTAAAAGTTTTATAAAAATCAGATAACTTTTTATTAATTGACTTTTGATTTTTACGTTCAACGAATAAGAAACGTTAAAGAAATTTTAAAAAATTCATCAAACGTAACATGCAAAAACGTATTAATAAAAGGTTATTCAATTTGGATGAAACTTTCAAAATATATGTATTTTGATATTATGAACAACTTTTACTTAATAAGCTATGTCGATTTACTTAGTAAAATTTTGACTTTACTATAGAGTAACTACTGATGATCATATAGTAGCTTATTTTCAGGTATAAAACATTTTTACGTTTTTCTTCCAAAAAAGAAAGGTAGCTTATTTTTGGAGGTGGCTTATTTTCAGCAATATACGGTATCTTTCTCTTCTAAAGTTGATGTTTCTTCTTCTTTTTCTTTGCCTTTATTTTTTTTTGCAGCTAGATTGGTTATATTCTGTAACTTTAAAGCTTCTTCATTGTAAAGGTTGTTCTTTAAGTTTTGGCCTATATGTTAATCTGTCTTAGTGGTTTCTAAAGCTTTATTATATTCTTTCACATTAGCAAAAAAAATAAGACGATATATATTGATTACTAACTGGGAATGATATATATCGATACTAATCACCCCTGTTGATTTTTATTGATTGCAATAGTAATCGATATATATCCCTCTTGGCTAGTAATCAATATATATCCCTCCTAGCTAGTAATTAATATATATCCCTCCTGGCTAGTAATCGATATATATTCCAGTATTTGTTTTATACAGTTTATCGTTTTATAGCATATCAATCAACTAGCAATACCATTATTTACTTTTATTTAAAACTAAAAAGCACTCAAGAAATTATTTATTTAAAAGCAATTATAAGAATTTATTAATATTTATTTATTTATATTATTAATATAAAATAAAAGTACATTAAACAAAAAAAAACTATTGCTAAAAAAAAAAAAAAGACATTGCTAAAAAAAAAAAAACTTTTAACACCACTATTTATTAACTTCAAATAAGTTATTATTTTCCTTCTGTGATAGTATCGCTGAACTATTTTGGGATAAAAGCCCAGGTTTGGGCGAAGCTTCTCTCGAATAGTCATCATCATGTGGTTGTGCTAAAAGTTCATGATTTATGATTGATTCTGCAGAATCATATTGAGGACCGCTATCATCGAAATTACTTTAATAAAATACAATAAATGTTAATCATAAACGACAATATTAGAGATCAAAAATAAAGTTTCAAATAATTATAAATGAAATATTACAAATACTTACCAAATATCGCTCCATGTGACACTTCATGTGTTCTCAGTGCATATAACGTTTAGGGACTGGGGTTCAACATAATATCACATATTGCAAGTGTGAAAGCACAATAGTGGTTTGTCAGAATAAATACAGTGGCCATGCTAAATACAGATCTTGCAATAAAAGAAATCTAAAGAACTTCTTCGCTATTTTGCTCAAAAAGAGTCTGATAGCATTGATTGACTTGTGAGCTTTCCTTCTACTTTACAATATCAGCTGAGGTGGTACTACTCTTCAAGTAGGGTAGCTTTTCATGACCAAACACTTTCCAAATCAAACTACGAACATTCTGTGATGCTGATTCACGGTAATTCTTCATTTTTTGTAACAACTAGTAATATCAAAGATAGTTGAAACAGTTTGTATCAGTTAAATATATCCAAATAAATAAATTGATTAGTAAAGGTCAAATACAAATATAAAAAAAAAATGATTAGTAAACAGTTAAATACACTTAGTAACAGTTAAATACAAACATATAGACATTAAAAAAAAATTTTTTTATACCTGAGTACACCATGT